ATGGTTGAAACGAGTGGGACATCAGAACCATAACTTTGCACGTGCTTGTAGGTATCCTTCAAGAAGTGGAACGTCCTGGAGAAGCAGCGCCGGCATGGTTCAAGGGTTTGTGGCACCAGTGAGGACCTTACCAAAAACAACCATTAAACACCTGCATTCAGGTCTTTGAAAGACCTGGCTCTTTTGGAAGGGCCTGTCAAGGTCCTGTCCATGTTTAGGAGACCACCAGAAGAAGAAGCTCTGTTCACTTCTGGCGGGTTCCAAACCCAAAGAATGGTCAACCTCTAGTGTTAACTTGCGATTATTCCGGAGGACGCTATAGTGAAAGAACCCCCAGAATGGATCGCCTTTTTTCCTGAATAAAACGGGAGCCACGCCTGATGAACATGGTCCTCCTTTTGATGAAGCGGAAGTTAACGTGAGTTAGGTTTGGGTATTTGCATGCAATCCGCTCAGCAGCAGGCACCAGCCTGAAGGATTCCCAAGCGCTCACTACGCCTCCAACAAAGGCCAAGAGTTTCGACCTGGATTTGTGTACGCTGTTCAGGTTGGTTTAGAGGGAAAAGGACTGCTCGCTGGTTTCAATGAAGAACTGGGGTTAGAATTCCCGAGCCAATCAAAAACCTCGAAGGGATGGTGATACATATATATATATATATAATTGGTATGATTTGGCCATCATTTAATGGGCATTGGCATCCTTGCATGGCGACTCACGTCCACAAGCCATGTTTCGGTTGTTCCCCAATCGATGTCGGCCTTGTACCTTCCTGATTTGTCACTGCCAGGGATAGCGCAGAGTATGTGGGAGCCTGAGAACTTTGTCCGCCTGCCCCGCGGGGGGTGGGGGGCCGACTGCGGCCGTGAGAAGGCAGATTGACGCAGCAAAAGGCGTCACCCTTGTTCCCAGTTTCTCACTTGGTGGGTTCTCCTTTTACCAAAGAGAGGAAGGCTTTTTCCCTTCTGTAGGAAGTTGAATGCCCTCTTGAAATGGTGTCCTCGTGATATATGGTGTAAACGAGAGGAGCACAACACATAGCCATTTTAGCTGTGGGTGTTGTAGCACACAAGGCATAAGGGCCCAAGGGCCCATGAAGATTTTCTCATGACCTCATGGTTTTCAGGTAGACTTCAGCGGGGTCTGGATGCCTCGTTCTGGAAATCGAGTGACTGCCTACATGGCCTTGCTGTGTAAAACGACACGGACCGAACGCATGAACATGAAGCCATCCATTTTAGCGAGGGTTTGTTCCGCAATTTCAGTGGCCATGAACATTCATCTGGCTAGCCATCTCGCCTGGGGGATATAATGCGTCCGCGTATAATTCCAGATCCCTTACCTGGGGATTCCTTATTTTAGATTTTTCGTGACTTGGCTCCCACGGCGTTTTGCTGCGCCGAGCGCTGTGGACGTGCCCGGCAATCTTCATTTAGACAAGTTGGAACAGCTGCCATTAATTATGGCAAGGCGATGTTTCAGTTTCCCCAGTGGGTTTCAACAGAGATGGCCCTGACTAGTAAATCTTTGTGTGGCACCAAAGTCACAGTTTGATGCAAGAGCTTCACTGCCTGCTTGAATAAAAGTTCTCCGTATTTCCCGCTTGGACAGTGTGAACCATCACCGTTTTCCTTTCGGTTGTTGATGTTGGCAGATTGGACATCTTCAAGTTGTTCAGTGGCACCCTTACCATCTCTATGTTTTGTGGGAAGCCTGAAAACATCGACTGATACTAAGGGTTTCTGTGGTACCTAGGGTCAAGGGAACCCTGGACCATTTCCTGGGTTTCGGGACACGTTAGTGGGGTTTTGAGAATGAGCCCTTTTGGGATCCCTGTATAGCAAGTGCTGGAAGCTCAGCTGCCGAGATCCAGCAAAGACATGCATGCTGAAATCGCGCCACGGAAATTTTGGCCAAAAAGACACGTGTTCCTTCAAAGGGTTTCTGTGATACAAAGGGAGCCCGACTAGACCGGCGCCGACTGCAACGGCTCGGCTGAGATCTACGAGCTGAAGTCTGGGCAGCTGGCGGTGAAAGACGGGGAGGGGCGGCGGGCCTTCGATGGCCAGGCGGGACGGGATGTTGGATCGATGGCCAGTGGAGGTTCGGTCAGGGTTTCACTTTTCAAGAGCTGAAGCCACATGTGCCGAAATATGCAAACCACCTGGACGTCTTTGAAAAAATGGACCCCGAGCGGGGGTTGGGGGATATCGTCATAAATGGTTGGCTGCTCTCAACTGGCCATGGATATTGGGGAGATCAGGGGCCAGAGGCCAGAAGCATATCTACCAAAATCCCCATCATTTGTGGAATGGGGTGCTAATGGCCCCAACTACACCCCAAAGAGTCATTGGCAAGTTGAAGCATCACGCCGGCGCTCTTTGCTCCTCTCCTTGCTAAGATGAAGGGGAGCAGCAATACACCATTTGACCTCCTTTTTCGGATTTTCTTTTGTTGTTGAAGTCTTGCGAATTCCTTTTTGAAAGTTGGCCTTGTAAAGCCTTTTGATCTCCTCTTTGAGACTTGGCTTTGCTGACATCATTTGACCTTTTTGGGCAGTGGCCTTGTTACATAAAGCCTCCCCCCCCACAATTTCTTCGCCGGTTTTCCCACTGAAAATGGGACACACGCAGCCCAGGTCGCCGACACTGATGTCAATTGCCGGGGACTCGTTGGGCCTTTTGGACCCGTTGGACCCATTGGACGCAGGGAAATTTGGCAGATCTCCACTTTACTCGCCCAAAGTTAATCGACCAAATCCGGTTCCCTTTTAAATCCGTTAAACCGCTCGCAAAAGGGTACCCTCAACAAGGGCACACTTATAGTATGCTTCAACCTCTACCTTGCTGGGTCTTACAACCAACCCCATCAGGACTTGAGTTCCCGGACTTCACCTTAAGCACCGTGAAACTGGGCTGCGCAAGCGACCTCATAGCCATTGCTGCTCTAGGCATGGATTCTGCTCTCAGAAGGAGCCCCGAAAGGGACCACCAAGGAGAACATCAGCAGCCCAACAGAAGGACCCCAACCTGTTTGAAGCGAGATTCATCTACAAAAGGATAATATCAACAGCAGCCCATTTAGATCCCAACATGGTCTCTACAACAGGGCTCCAATTTTTCTCCGAGGTGCGGATTGCTGAGGTTAGAGGCGCTCGCATGCATTTGAGACATGTTTTCAGACGGCTTTGGCGGACATGCACCAAACAAGGGCCCTGGTCCAACAGCTGCTGTTCAAGCTGAGGCCAAGTCGCCCCCTGTGGATCCCTCGCGTTTCGCCACTCAAGCGGGTGTTCTTTTGCAGCACCATTCTATTTTTGACCATGGCTCACATGAATTTGACCGTAGCTCACATGAAATCAATGGGCTTCCCGGATCTCCTTTCCTTTGAATCCATAGGCCCGGAGCACGTCACTCCCGGCACCTACTTCGGAGCGGAGCGCGGAGTCCCAGAGATGCCAACTCGGGCGATGCAATCCTTTTTGTGCGAAAAGGTTTGAGCGAACTCACCTGTAGTTCTGTTTTTTGGGTGGAGGGGTTGGGTGGGGGGGGTAGGTTGACTGAACTCACGCTCTAAACCTTCTTTTTTGGTTCTGTGGTTTTGTTGGATTCAGGGTTGGGGATTGGAGGAAGCTTAAAAAGTCAGTATCCCTTTGAATTCTTAGAGCTGAATATTTCGCAAGTCGAAGACAAACGCAGCTTTGCGGTTGTTGATTGCTTGATCAATTCTTTCAAGTCGCTGTCAAGTGAGGGCTTGAAGGCTGCGAAGTGTACTTGCTCGAGAGAGACTTATGGTGAGACAAGCCCTCTCAGACCTCCCCCGCACAGGGCTCAGGGCTTACCGTAGCAAAGCCTGAAAAAGTCCACGGCCTGACTAAGGGAATCCCTGGGGACGGTCCCTTTGGGAAGGGAGGGCTGGATCTTCAGGACTTGGTTGGAAGGGACGGATGGGGCGGAGAGTACAAGGAGGCTTCAAGGGGAAGCATTATTTGATGTAGAACAATTCGGCAATCCCTTTAGCAACTTGTGATGACTCTACAATCCCTTGTTCCTGTTGTTTCCACGTGCCCAAAACACGTGCTTCCAGGGAGCCGTCGTCTACGGAAAACAAAGTGGAAAAAAGAGAAAAAGGGGGGGGGGGGGGGAAAAACAACAAACGTGAAAGCCCAAACAGTCTGTGTGCGCGAGGTGCCTGGAGAGCAAGAGCGCGATTGCTCCCTACACCCTGGTGGTTCCCAGCTCAGAGCGTTGCAAGCCGACGGTTGGCCGGGGGGGGAGGGGGGCCCAGGTGGGTGGCAAAGGCCTTCTACATAAACAAGAGGGGTTACGCAGGTTTTGGTCCATGTTTCCACTTACCAGGGTTCCATTTTGGTATCGGTTTTTGGAGCCACAGCCAGAGGAATTCTGAAGGTAAGGGGGTGAAAGTTCACAATTTCATAGAGTTTTCTCCAGTTGACGGGTTGCCTTGCACTTGGCTTTGGACTTCGAGCACGCCTTTTTGCCGCGTGGAGTTGAGGTCCATCATTTCCGTCCTTTCTAACAGGCATGGTTTGTGCGGAATTCGGCTTCTCACCGAAAAAGAAAAGAACGGCTTGAAGCCTGCAAATGCGCAAATGCGCAAATGCATGGCCAGATCGCTTCGAGTTTCCCTTGACACCAGCCAGGTAGACCCGCCAAATCCCTTCTGCTCATCGGCCTCAAACAAAGAATGGGTCAACCCTTGAAAATGTGTAACAGGTGTGGTTCCGATTCTTTTCGACATTTTATTACAAGTCCATGGGAGAAAGGGAGCTTTCGTATTGATCGCCAGGATCTAAGGCGACGTGGGCCGTGGGCGACCTGCTTGCTTGAAAAACACCCCGAACTCTTCAAAGCGGACATAAGGACAGGGAAGGTGCACCAAAGTTTCCACAGGTTTGGCCTTCGTCCCTTTTGGCCCAAGCTTCAGTGGGTATCCTTTTGTGGTGACAGTTATTTTCAGGAACATAGGGAATCCCGAAAGAACCCAAGAGCCATTCGGGGCAAGTTGCAATCAATCAAATTCACCCAGATCCCCTTCCCCGAACCTTTCCCTTTCCGTGGTTTCCTCCAAAATCAGTCCGCAAGCGCCTCACTTCGGGCAAAGGATTTCCCGAAGTCTCCCAAACTTGTTCAAATCTGTAAGGGTGTTACTTCCAAGCCTTGTTCTTCAAGGTAGACTCCATTCGAATGTTCCGTGGGCCAAGTTTCCGGGTTGGGGAAGGTGGCACCCAGCTCCGCTGGCAACGACCAGTCGGCTCGAAGCGGATGTGTGAGGCGTTGACGGATGTGACGCTGCTGCAGTTTCCGCCCAGCGCCATTTGGCCGGAGCCCGAGACTGCGGAACCGAACGCGTACGGCTTTGGAGTGAATCGCTTTGCCTCCAATTGGAGTTTGGAGGATTCCGAAATGGGTTGTGAGCATCCGGCTTTAGAATTTGGGTTTGTCTCCTATTCGATTTGGGAAGGTTCCCAAACAGGATTGTTTGACATGCGCACCATCCGACTAAAAATATGGGCGTGCATATGTCAAGTGGGACAGCTAGATGGACATGCTACATTTGAAGGTAACATGGGTTTGTCTCCAAATCACAACCCTGAGAGCTGCATATCGGTATGTATCTTATCTGGACTCCTTTGTCCAGTATTGTCAGCAACCCACTAAATCGGAGTGTTTTTTTGGGATATCTATTCATGAGGGAGCAGAATGGGAGATTCACTCTTTTGAATCTGGTATTGCTGAAAAAATGGGGAGGCGTCCGCATTTGACTTGGGACCCATCAGTGGACACATTGGGATTTACCTCCACCACATATTGTTCAGGATGCTTCTCATGGACATTCATAGCTGTGTGGACCAGAATCTATGCCCGGCCTGATATAAAACACATGGCGCTTTCACCGTGCCGCTTAGAGGCACATGTTGGCTGTTCCAACTTAGGTTTGGCAGGCTAGGTGAATGAGGAGTGCCCGGAAAAGCCTGATGTTTTGTTTGCAAGATAATCAAGCCAAAATTGTGAATTCTGCGCACGACAATTAACGAGCCATTGGAGTTAAGGTTGGTTTCGAAACAATATTCCAACAGCAAAGTCGGCGAAGCCGGCGGGAGGTTGAACAGCAACATGTTTGCTGGCCAGTGCTGTGTGCACCGGGCGTGCCTGTTCCATCGGCTGGATAGGTCGATTATGAATCAGCTACTTTTGTTAGCTAGTTTACAATTACTTTGATAGTTGGTTGAGTAGCAAACCCACGAATCAGGTGTAAACGACCGTTTAGGTCCCCGTTACACGTTGCTTTGGTATGCGACAGCCCTGAAACCACCAGCGGGGCGATGGTCAAAAGCCACGCGCGGACCACCGGCCAGGGCCGTGCAAGAGGAGCAACGGCAATTCCTGTCCAGGAGAGCGGGAGAAGCGCGCGCTTTTCGGAGGTCGGGTTTTGGTTGGTTCGACATAGTGCTTCTTAAAATGCGATTCGGACCCATTTTGATTGGTATCCAAAGGGAAAGCAAAATAAAGCCGACCATTTTAGGGCCACCAGTGTGAGAAGCCCCAGTGGCTTGACTTCGTTGGCGTGATTTTGGTTCAGGGCTGGATGTGGGGGATGGGAACCCGCATACCAAAGTAACCTCCTGAAGCTGAAGGGAACCAGGAATAATCAGGCTGTTCAGGCTTCAGTTTGGCGTCGGACACCGGCCAGGCGTGGTTTTGGTATGGCGTTTTGTCAGGATATGTCAGGATGGAATACCTCGGCCGCTTTGGAAGTCGTTGGACAGTGCTCTCTTTCGCAGAGCATGAGCCACACATGCTAGATTCCCATCAGGAAACGGAGGTTACTTGCCAAAATCCCATTGTCAAAGCGGGACACTGTGAACATTGCCACCCAATTCCGGCGTTTAGTTTCTGGCTGTGACTGTGCAGTCGAGATTGAGATTGGGCGGTCAGCGGCCTGCTTACGTACAGTCCTAACTTGGTCTGCAGAAACCTTCAACTAGCGGGGGTATTTTGCTGGGGGCCTGGAGTGCACAGTTCGTCCAGGGTTCCTAGCCTGCCTGAAAAGTTCTTTGCAACCCCAGGAAGGAGAGCTTTGTCTTCAAGCGCATTCGCCGCAGTTGTAGCCAACCAAAAGCACCGTTTGGAAAAACCGGAAGTATCCAGCACATAGTCTATAGTCCCGTTTGGGAGGGACATTGACTTGGGGGGAAAGCCCAATGAAGAAAAACACAGAGCAACTGGTAACTGGGAAACTCACTCAATTTCCCATGTCCTTTACTGGAGACGTCACATTTGTCTGCTCCACGTGGCTCATGGCTTTCTCGCCCAGTCGCCCGAGGATCCAGCTCTTCTCCCCCGACGTGCTCACCAAGGCGTGCGTTGGGGAGTTTTCCGGATCCGGCTTGTCGGGCGTTGCCTGTGTCCATTTCCTTGAGCCCACTCGTTTGAATCAAATCCGTGAGGAGGGTTGTGAAGCCGGGGGGCCTGGGGGTGGCTTGGGTATTCACACAATTTGGGATTAGGCCTCTTGGAGTGATTGGATTTCTTGGATCCTTCAAACACCATTCCGTCGCTCCCCCATTTCCTGGACTTGCTCCACTTCGAAACTGAGTCGCAGAAGGTGTTTGGGTCTCGTTTGGGAAGGACCCCGGATGTGCGCCATGTGCCCGACTCGGCGCGGCGTCCAGATGTCCGGGCCAGGATGAGCAGTTCATGCTGGTCAGCAAGCTAAAGCTGGGGCGCCAAGGTTTGCTTTCGCGACATGTCACAACATGTCTGTGTGTGTGATGGTTTTTGTGCAGTTCGTAGCATTTCGTTTTCCCCTGGTTGTACAACCTGATGTTCATTAGTTTAGCAAGATATAAGTTCCCTCGGGCTCTCTTTAAACCATCCCCAGAACGGGTGTCCCTTTGCATTCTCATGGTTCTCTTCAAAACAGCCTAAAACGATTGGCCCCCCAAGCAATACCGGCCATATGGGTGGATTTCCCGATATTCGGAATCGGAATTCAGGCCATGGAACTTCCCTGCTGGCCGGTACATCATCAAGGAGGGCGAGGCGCCGACCGCCGACCCGGCCCTCGTGTCTTGGGAGGGGGTACTGGTACCCTAGGGAGGGGCTGAACGGGGGATCAAAGGAAGAATCGTATTTGTATGTTCTTTTCTTTTTTTGGGGGGGATTGCCTGAGACAACACATTCATTTGCATTTACCCACCATCCCAACAAAAGGTTTTACACTTTTTCTTGCACTGGAAATAGAGACACAATTGTGACAAGAATGATTGCACTAGGCAATATTGAGCAACGTTCGACTCATGAAGGTCACTGAGAAAAGATGAGCAAAAACATCGTGTTGGTGAGTTATAGTAATGTACAAAAGGCTTTGCACTACCACACCTATCGTTTCCTTTGGTAAAACGGAATCACCCACCAGGGTCGTCCTTTGCATGGGGGCAAAAGTAATTCTGCACGAAATGGGTCTCCTCTAAACCTGCTTCATATTTTGGGGTTCACTAGCATCATTAGATACAAAGCAGAAACCAATGTATGTGGGTAGAGTCGGGGGTACAGGCTAAATATCACGCAGAACCTGAGACGCGGACATCTTTATGAACATATATATATATATATATATATACAGAGAAATACAAAGGCTGTTTGTTGGTGAAGCTAGGGTGCCATGCCCGCTGCTGACGCATGGAGGCTGACAAGGCCAACCCCACACCGCGACGGAAGTTTGCAACGGTTACACCCCTCCGAGTACGAGAAGACACATTAGGACCCGCCCCAGAAAGGTTTCAGGGACCTTCCAAGAAGGCGTGGCCTTTTCTACATCACAGATCACAGACCGGGCTTCGTGTGGTTGGTGCTGCCGAGGGGCCCTTCCTCCCTGTATTCTCAGCTTGTTTGTTGTTTGTTGTTTCCGGGAGAGTTTTCAGGGCTCCCTACGCTCCCCTTCTGCTTGTTTTGGACATCACCTTTTGGCCCAATAGGTCATGTTTGAAGCGGAAACCTATGAAACCCTGGTTTCGTTAAGCATCACTCAACCCAAAACTGGTCAGCTGCGAGCAACTGAGAAGAGCATCGACTGAAAGGCTTCCAAGCACCGGCCAAAGAACAATCCAGTTGAAATGTGGTGGGTTCTTTCTGAGAAGACCCTACAAAGGGTTCCCTTTGTTTTACCCATGTCCCTGGTTGCAACTGGATATGTGTCCAGATAGGGGTACCCCCCCAAAATGGTAGTTGTCCTTTGCCCTCCTACAAAGAAACCCGAAGAGGGGTGTTCTCCTTTGCACTAAAGCTTCATTATTTTGCCAGATCGGTGACATGCTCTTCATCATCGAGCGGGGCGTGTGCGACGCCTGCAAGATCCTGAACGACCAGGAGGCCGGCTCGGAATTGGCAGGGGAAGGGCCCCGGATTTACCTTGACCCCCTGAAAATGGTTTTTGATGCTTGGGCCTGTTTGCCAAAGGGCACAAAAGGAAAACCCCTGTCTGCTGGGAAATGCAGGGGGCGGTCATTCCAATTTTGCCGAAGAGGGGGGTCGAAAGCAAACCCCGCTTGCGCCAATTCTTGGCTCTTACCTTCCTGCAGACATCTCTGAATCGAACAAAACTCTGGCCAAATGGGTATGCGTTTTGTGAGCATGCTCTTTTCAGGTTAGTTCAAAGGATCCAACAGGGAACTTTTGGAGCCTGTACTTGCCCGTGTCATTCCATCTATATAAGACAGTGAGAGTTCACAAACCAATGCCGAAGCCCCTATGCCACCCTTTTGGTGGTTGTTTGCAGGGGAACCAAGAGCAAACCACATGGTTTTGTGATTTTTGCTGAGAATACCCTGTTCAGGTTGGTTTGCAGGGAAACTAAACGGACATCCGCCGCATGGCCCTGTTCGTTTGCACACAGCCACATAGGAAGCAATCAGTTTGTAGGGGACCCCCGATTTTCCCAGCTGCGAACTTTCAATTTTGAAGGGTACACTCGAGAATGACATGGAACCACCAGGTGACTAAGCCCAAAAACTTTCTGCCAAAATGCGTGGTTGCGCAACTGGGGGAAGGACTGCAAAGCAAGGAGTTGCTTGTTGACAGACCAGTGTTTGCCTTTGACCCATCCCGACTTTTTCAAGCGGTATACAGACATCTATCCCCCGTGTGTTTCTTTTTGATCAAAGCGGGAAGGAAGAATCCCCGTCGCCGCGCTGGTTTCCAGGATTTTTGGAGTTGGATAGCTCCACTCGTTTCCAGTGGGTGACAAAGGAAACTGGGCGAGAGGCAGGTTTCCTCAAGTAGCAAGCCTACAGTGGACACGGACTCCCTGGATTGGAGGTGCACTAGCATGTCCTTTCACTACATTCTCCTCTGCCAAGCATCCATGCCGGTGGGCCGTTGGTTTGCAGCCCAGCCCTGAAGAGTACCGACAGCTCGCCTCATGGAGGTTTTTCGGGGTTGGTTGGGTGCACTGGGTTTGGTTTTAAGGGACACCAAGATAAAAGCCCATTTGTGTCTTTTGGTGTTCTTGCCAACCGGTTGCTGAAATGTTCGAAGTCGGCGCGCCTGTTTGGGGCCGACCCCCTTTTGTTGGCTTGCGAAGCAGATCAAAACGAAGCCGAACCAGCATTTCGGGGTCCACTTCCTCAATTTCAGACTCCGGTTGAATCCCAATGTGCCCTGAGGTGGTGTTGACCCAGCTCAAGAAGGGCGCCTTCTTTGGCGAGCTGGCCGTGATGTTCGCCCGGAAGCACAGAGAAAGAAGAGCAAAGAACCAGGTCCTGTCCGATGCCATTTCACCGTGCCATTTCCACCCCTGACCCGAATGGCGTTGACAGTTTGGGGAACTGGGTGTGGCTTGCCCCAGCTGTGGCAAGGGGACGTCCCATTTGTACCGGGACTTAACCAACTACATACAGTTTACTCCTACAATCATGACTAAGTTTGGTGTAACATACCCCATTTTATTTATTCAGGGCCTAATATTACAGCAATACTGTGGATGGACGAAATCCTGCGCAACCTAAGAATCCCTAGGATGATGATTCTCCTGAAACACCAACAAAGGTGTCCAATGGATTTCAAAGTGGTGCGAAATGGATGTTGTCCATTGATGGAAAACCGTCATTTCATGAAAGAACAGTTTTTTCTCGAAAAGGCCGAAAACAAAGAGACACAAACGGCTTCACAGGTCCACAGTATGATACTCGCAGACCCCCCCGACTCTCTCCCCCAAGGACATGCCTCGCACGGCCTCGGTGCGTGCGGCCACGCCGGTGACGGCGCTCTCCTTGACCCGGGAGGACCGGATGAGAACGTCACCCGATTCGCCCGAGGCACCCAGTTGCGATCCCTTCTCAGTTCAGTGGCACCATTTTTTTTCCAAAACAAAGGTTCCCTTTTTCAGTGGCACCAATTATTTTGTTTGGTGGCTGCCCTAACAATGGTCTTCCCCAAAAGGGTTCCCTTTTTTTTTCTCCGGGGTCACTGAACGACTGAGTTGTTTGACGTTTGTTACAAAGTTGGGGGGAAAACCCTCCAAAGACAAGTACCAGAGCAAGAGTGCCTTTTGTCGCAGGGCAACTGAGAGTTTGGGGTTTCTGGAATTTAGATGTGTGGAAAACTATTTGAGCAGCAGGACTTGTTTGGTCAAGGCACTCAGGAAGTCGGGACTCTGGATACGCGTCCTCTGGATTTGCTGGTTCCCCCCCCAGACAAGCGCGCCTTCTCAAAAAGATGAGAAGGCACTCTGCCCTGGGAAACCGACGTGCCCAAAAATGAGCGTAAAATTAGGCACCATGCTTTCCCAGGGCCATGCCCTCTCAACTTTCCTGTTTCTTAGCCATGGTACCCTTTGAAGGTCCAGACCGTCGGTCCTTGTTCCTCGCACAGCTCCAAAACAAGGGTCTTCTATCTAAATGTTAAACCAGATTTAGGGGAAGCACAAGTGAGCCTTTTGTCGAAAGGCTGGCAGCTACGTCACAGCGTGGTTTGTCCTCAGGAGTACATGCCAACTATGCTTGAGAGTGAGCCTTGTCCACAACTCCAGAAGGGACACACCTTGTGTTCGTGAGAAACCGTATGATGAAGGCTTATTTCAGGTTGGGGAATCATCATTCACCCAAACAATCCCTGAGTTCAAGTTGATGGACCTCGTTCGGAAAAGGGGCCATCTACGAATTTGGCGCACGTGGTGTGATGTCGATTCAGGGTCTTCAAGGTGGTATGAGACCTGGCTTGAGCCTGTGGATACCTTGGAACCATACTGCACTGCAGTTGTGCGTCGCGCATCTTGCAAATTCTTGCAACTTGGGGTGTTTCTCCAAACGAGTATATATATATATATATACACACGATATGCGCAGCTTTCTCTTTGCTGTCCCTACATCCCAACTACAACAGCGATGTATGACCAGGGAAATGTTTGAGGGCACACCTAGATGTTGCTCGTTTGCATACCGTCATTCAGGCATCGCCATGGCTTGAATGCTTCGAGCCGTGGGAATTGACATACTTAATCTTGCTACTTGCAACACTTCAGCTTTTGGATTTACTGGGCGCCTTGGCAAGTACCCTATGGAGTATTGATTTCCCCCAAAAGAGAAGCACGAGCGAGCGGGTTGTTGTTCAATTCTAGGACATCACCAGCGTGATCGGCGAGGAGAAGATCTCGAAAATGCACCGGCCTCAAGCGTTAGTGTAGTTCGGATTCATATGGCGGACCCCACTTCTTACTGGCTGGGCCAAAAAGCAAACTGTTCATTTTGGGGGAGAATACGACACTAAGGGCAAGGGAACAGTACATATATACTCTACTTGTTCAACAAGTAGATATTACATTTTTGGTGGTTCGGCCCTGTCAAAACAAAGGCGCCAGCCCTGAGAGCGATTGTCCAGATTAATCCAAAGTTGCTCAATGAAAATTATCAGGTAACCGTACTTTGCCCGAAAGCCTATGAGCCGTAGGCCAGTGTACACAAACCATACCTTTCTGCAGGGAGGGGGGCGGGGTATCTAATAAATCCCTTGATTTGGTTGGGTCAGAAGCAGCCAACTTGAGCGGCATGGGGCGGAGGGGCGGAATGGTGCGTTTTGGCACTGCCGTTTCTGGAACTGTCGTGTGGGAATCCAAAGGTTAAGTTTTTAGGACAGCTGAAAGGAGAAGTTCAAGACTGCGTCAATTAGGCATCCATCGAGTTATTCGGCGGGGGGAAAGGGAGGCCAGCCAAACCCTCAAAGGTAGTTGGCTTGTATGTTCCTTTTGACAAGCATTCATGCCCTTCAACTGTGCCACATCGTGTTGTTACACGGCAATACTGGCACTGCCATTGTTGAAGGCTTTCCTTCACAATCCGACAGGTAAGGTCACATGTTTACGGGGACAAGTTCTAGCAAACAGTTTGCTGCTATGCAGTTTTCGTTTCAACTTGCTCCCCAGAAACGGGCCTTCTATCGCACACAGGGGGTTCTTCCGCACGCCCCAGGACTTGGGTGCCCGCTTTCTGGGATACACGTCGCATGCGACCCGCAGGCAGATCCTCGCAAAGGCCCAGGCCGGGGCTTCGGTCGGTGGGAGCAGATGGGTTCCATCCCCCGGGCTGGCGATGGTTTTAAGTGAGAGTATGGGTCCACCCTCCATGTCCACCGAAGGCTCAATAACAAGTCCATGTCCGGATGATGAAAGTTTGGAGCTGCTCGAGTGAAGTTGTTGAGCAAATCTGCATTATAAACCATCAAACGAGCACCCAAGCCACAATCAAAGCTGGGGAAGGTTGGTAGGGACAGCCCAAGCCACAAAAGAGGTGCAGCTACCCGCTTGGGTAGTTTCCCTACAGAGCTTGTGAGATAGCATTGATCAATGCGATCGAGTCGACATCAAGTCGCGGTTGCGTCTGCAGCCAGATTCCCAAGGCAGGTTGGGCTTTGTTAACCCAAAAGAGGGGGACGCAACCCAGAGAATTCAGCGGCACAAAGCCCCTTTTTCAGGGGGGCTGAATCAAACAAGCTGTCCCGAAAACCTATCAACCGACAGCAGGGAGCAGCTGTTTTGGTGCCATTCCCTGGTTTGGATTTTATGGGGTCCAACAAATGATGCCTTTTTTTTCCAAGGCTACTCAAAATGAAGTCAATCCCGAAAAGGGCTCCAACTTGTTTCTACTGATGGGGTCAGCACTGTGCAGGTGGGATTCGGGTATGCATAGCTACAATTGCGACTTGAATGCGTCGGTGTTTACAAAGAGCTTGATCTACGCAGGCATATGCGGGCGGATCACGGGCTTATGCAATTTGGACATTTTACGGGTAAATGCACTATTTCCAGTTGGTGGCTTATCATACGTTTTCCAGATCTAGATGACCTATACCCCATTTTGCGTTGCGATAGTGATTTCAGGGACTTATGGTCGTGTTGGGGTAGTGGAATGCCTTTTGGATCGGACAATATAGGGGCTTGCCCATCGTGGTATGATAGTTGGAGATCTCTTGCATAAGCTTAGTAAACGAATGTCTTGTGATTTGGTTTGTGTTTCTTCCGAGAACCGCACTAGCGGAGGTATACGCTTCTGATCAATGTAGAAGGTGCCCTCAATCCAAAGACGCGAGTATATGTGATTTGTTCAGCTAACCCACGGGCAAGGTCTCTTGATGGGGGGATTCCGGAAATCCGGGATGGAATCTGTTCAGATGTCCAAGTGTGTGTGCTTTTTGGTTGAGCCTGTTTCCCTGTTTTTGAAGGACAACCAAAAGGGATAACCAAGCCCACACCATTTTTAGGGGTCCCCTTATGTTGAAAGATATGTTGACAAATGGCCCTGACTTCGCCGGACTTCGCCAACCTCGTGGCGAGGTCTTTGGCAGCATCCCCATCCTGGCACCATTGCCCGCTGCAGCCAAGAACACCATCGCCCGCAGGCGATTGACCTCTGCCCGGTTCGTTTGGGCGCCGTCGGAGGCCATGTGGGTCAAGCGTTTGTGATTGGGTTGAACTAGACCCATGTTGGGTCTCCCATTAGAACACCCACCCTTATTTCGCATGGCTGTGTTTCTCAATAGGCAACACACAAGATAGGAAGGTGTTAATATGGTTTTAATACGAATTTCTTCTCAAACTACCCTCTACACGGGTACGAGACCAAGTTGCACATGTGAAGATGCAGTTGCTTGTAGATGTACTACGGCGCATGATAGCGACCTCAGAACGGGGGTTTTGCGACCTCACGCATGATGAAGGCTTCTTGTTTCTGGTTAGTGATTTATCATATGTAGCTTGACCGGATGGACTATTGTATACAATTATACGCACTGCTGCAATTGTGCATATCAAGTAGATATGGGGAGTGCCTACAAAATGGTCGGTTCACCACTGCTTCCCTTTCAAACCATACAAATCGCGGGTCCCATGTTTTTGCAAAAACATTTGTGTAATGCGGGCTGCCTTTGTGTTGCTTGTCGCATCCCAAAAAAAAGGACCTTCGTCGCAATGAGGAAAAGTATTTGGGTTGTAAGGCAATCCTCAGTCTCCAACGCATAGCGGTCGGATATCCTTTCCGACTTTTAAAGATCTGGGGCTGGAGTCGTCGATCCTACCCTCGGGTTGAAGGGGTTGTGTAGTGGTTGTCCTAGAAGTGCGCATTGGCCAATTCCACTTCGAACAGCCCACAGCCAATGCCCCTGGTGCGTTTCTGCGCGCCGAACACAGAGGTCTCCTTTTTGGATGCTAAGGGAAAACCAAAGGAAGGTGGGAAGAGCGTGCAAGTTGCCAGGCTCCAGCCGAAGTGTTTTGAGAAGGGTAGCGTCATCATCGATCCAAAGGCCAAAGCGGACAGGCGCGACCCCGCCGCTGTCGGGAGCTGGTCTGAAAATGGGTTTGTCCTTGCCGAGGGTACCCTTTCAGGTTGGTTGCAAGGATATCCAAGAGGAACAGGATCATTTCGCGGGGGTCCCTCTGTTTCAGCAAGTACCCACATTGCAAGGCTTTTTATACATGAACGCTATAAACACATCGATCTTTGCTTTCGGCACAAAACTGAGCTTGCGGTCGTTTTTGACAAACTTGTGAGCCTTGTTGGAGGGACCCTCTGGTCAAGGCCACAACATGCTTTTGGCTTTTCAAGTTCCAATCGCGGTTTGGCCTTTAACAGCCCAAGCCTTTTTTTGGCTCGATGAGACGCGCAGAGTTTGTGCGTCTAGGAACGGACGTTTTCTCGTTTTGCCGCTCGTTCACGAGACCAACAGGAACCAAGCCAGGTCGGACTCCTCCAAATCTATGTTTGAATCAGTTGGGGCAGTCCTTGAAAAAGTTAGAAGGAGGGCCCAAAAGGTGTAAGTTCTTATTTCTCCGAGATTTGGAGGCGGCAGATTTAATAGTGTTCCTGGTCTCACAAACAGCCAGCCGTGTGTGTGTGTGTATATAGTAGACTGCGACGAGCAACCTGCCTGTGCCCCCAATCTGGTCAAATACCAAGTATGCGGACACTTCCGATGTGATGCAGTATTTGACCCCAGAGTCGAGGATGAGCAGAAGGATCCCAGCAACGGGGTCCTGTTCCAAAAGGACACTCTGTTCCTAAAGAACGGAAGGATTTTGAGATTATGTCCATTCAATTGAGCTTGTGCCCCGCCTTCTCCGCTTGAGTTAGATGTCATGTGTCTGCTTTACCGGAGTGCTGATCAAATTGGTCTAATGGGACCCACTCTGCAACAAATCCCCTTTCAGCCTTGCTTGGGAAAAGTTTAAACGCTCTTTCAAAAATGGAATACCCAATGGGGTACCGAGCAAATCAAAGGACACAAAGCCCTTTGTTTGGCCGCTTTTGAAGTGCTCCAACTGACCTCATGACCAAAAATGTTCAACCTCTTCCCCGTGGCTTCGATGGTCAACAGTCCAACCCGCAAGGCTTTACATCGTGGAGTCCGGATCTGTGATGGTTCAGTGCGGTGAGGAGAAGGCGATCCCTTTGTGGAAAGTCGCAAGGGTGGGACTCACGCCGAAAGGCTGTGGGTCAAAACCAATGGGATCCCATTTTGGGGCACCACTCATTGTTGAACCTGTTTTAGTGGGGATTGGGATGTTCACTGGGGGTACGGGATTTTGACCCATGGCCAAAAGTCTCCATCCCCCTCTTGGGGAAGACTAGAATTAGACCAAAAACAAGGGATCGCTATGTGGATGCAGGTGTGTTTGGCGGGAGTGATAGGAGCTTCTTTTTTGTGGGGGGTCCCATTTTGCGCACAGCCCTTGCAAGTTTGAAATTCGGCAGCATAGGTTCGTCAAAAATAGGGCAACATGTTGTGCTGCCTTTGAAGGGGGATAGGGTTGTCACCATTTCTGTTTGACCTCACATGAGCTTCGTCCAAGCAACCAGCAGAGTCAGACAGCCTCAAACAGCAGCAATGGCCTTTTTCGGACATAGTGAACTAGAAGGCAAAGCACCATCAAGTCAACTAGTTTTACCCCAGTCCATGCGTTCCGCCCCACAGGACAGGGTTCTTAGCGTGTATTTTAGGATTGTTTTGGTTTAGGTTTAAGATTTTAAGGTTGAGGTTTAGAGGTTTCGGGGTTTAGGTTCAGGGTTGTTAAAGTGCAGGTTCGAGGTTTAGGGTTAGTGTTTCCGTTTAGGGTTTGAGGGTTTGAGGGTTTGAGTGTTTGAGGGTTTTAGGGTTTAGGTTTAGGATTGTTGGGGTTTAGGTTTAGGGTTGTTTACGGTTTAGGTTTAGGGTTCTTAGGGTTTAGATTAGAGGTTTTAGAGATGAAACGCAAGGTCGGCTTGGCAAGTGAGGAAGCCGGGTTCTTGGTCGGAGCTTCCCCCCCCCCCCCCAAAGCCCCAAAACACTGGCCCTGCGCAAGCAAAATGCACTTGCAGCCAACCCGGGGCAGACTACATGGACATTGATTGGCCGTAGTTTTTTTCGGGACCCACCGAACAAGACTCCAGCTTTCAAGCAGATCCTATCAAAGAATACACACAGGTCGTCCGCAGTTCCTGTTGTTTGGACTGTCCCATAGTAACCTTTAACAGCTGCGCTCACATGCCTCAGCAACTGTGATTTGCTTCCAGCTAACGAACGATGTGGTAAAGCGCGCCTTTCTCTTGGCTGCTGTGATGCCCAAAGCCAAAGTCAAACAACGGAGGTAACTTGCCCAACAGCCCAAAAAGCGGCTGTGTGCTTGGAAACTCTGACTGGCTTGAACCAGATAAAATAGAAGTACCGCGCATTGACGCATTGAGCACAGGAGCGGTGACACAACGTTGGATCAGCCGTGTTGGAAAGAAAATGGTGCCGCTAACAAGCTAGGCGCCTATGCGATGACTTGCAACGATGTCATCGATGGCTCGAGACCTGCGGCACGTCCCGCAAACCAGAAGCACAGACGGATTGGTAATCCGATTGAGCTCAATGCTGACAAGGTTGACGAAGGATCTGCACTGCATGCTATGGTGAAGTTGACTACTGATGTTGGCCAGAACTGGATGCCATACCCTTCCACCTCCAAGGTTCGGTGCACAGCCGCCCTTTGGAAGACTAATTGTTATCTACATATATATATAGATATATTTATATATAGTCAACATGGCGGAACATGGCGGTACATGGCGGTACTATAGCAAACCCAAACTAGGCAAAAGCCCAAACTATGTGCCCCGATTTCGTGGGTGCCCTCAGCTGAACCCCGCATCTAACGCGTTCGCTAGGGCATCCAGCTCCTGGCGGGGATGTCCTTCGGAATGCCGGGCACTGATTTTTGTCGGGTTCGTCCCCTCACCGGCGATCGATATTCTATGCGGCTTTTTTGGTGTCACCCCGGTTCAGGAACACCACATTGCTTTTGCCCCTAGTTTTCACACATATTAGCCTTTTACCGTCGCACACCGGTTTCGTGATCCCAAATCAGACCCTCAGGAAAAGAGATCTAGACTTTACCAAACTGGGCCCCAGGGAGCTTCCCACTGGGTTCTGGCAAAGACCAGGAAACCAACAAAATGTTGCTGTACTGCAGACAGCCAAATTTTAGGTTCCTATGGGGACCGTGACCAAAGAAACTGGTTGGGGATCGACCTTGGTTGACAACCCTGTTGAAGATGGGTTTGCTTTGAAGCTTCAATGGGACCCCCCTGGCAACTTTACCCTTACACACATCTTCCCATGTGGAAGACGGCCCCCACTTACTCGTAGGTATCTGAATTGACTGCATCGCCTTTGCCCTAAGGTCAAGATTCTCGCAAGACTGGGCCCAGTGGTTCCAGGGTGTTCTATGCTGTCCTTGGTGAGTTTTTGCACGTCATTGCGCGAGTGTAGCTTGAGTTTCCTTTTTGAGATAATTGTCAAGGGCAACAATACGGACATAGCGTCCATATTTTGTATGGGGGTTGCGGCTGCAGAAGCTCCAGGCGGCTTCAAGAGCGTTGTATTTTTGGGACCACTGGAGATTGTTCGGTTTTGCGCCCATGTGAACCCACGAGTTTTGCGCGGCTGCCGGACATGTATCCCGAACTGTACATGCAGTACTGGGATCAACTTCAACCATGAGCGCAACCGTAAATGAAGTACAAAAACAGCCTTGCACAAAGAGCGCGCCAGGGATCGCCTTTTGGGCGAGGAACCGTACGACATCAAGGCGCGGGGCAAATGGAATCCCATACCAACAGGGTAACTGGGGTCCACTGAGCATCATTTGTAAACCCGCTCTTTGGGGTGCCATGCGGGTGTGTAGTGTGTGGATTTGGTTAGCAACACAGGTGCCCCTTGCCAACGGTGCCCTTTGCCCTTTGAATAAAAAATGTGACCCCGCTTTTCGGGGGAGCTCCTTGCCACCACACGTCTGAGTTTTTGTAGTTCTTCCTGCCGCAGGTTATGATGGATGACGACTTACGAAACCCCGAAAGAGCCTCCAAGGAAGAAGAGCTCAATCAGAATTGTCCGGGCCAAAGTTGGCCAAATAGAGCCCGAACGGTTGGGGGTAGGGTCTTTGAGGGTCTTTGACTTGTGAGTCTCATTGTGGGTGTCTTGAACAATGGGCACCACGCCCTGGTTGGTTTTCTTTTGGTTTTTACGGCCATCCCGAAAAGAGTACCATGTTTGGAGACAGACCCAAGTTGATTCTCATACAGCGGTCGCTGCTTTAAATGATACAGGGCCGGAGACACTCCCAAAAACAACATATGTCAATGTTCGGGGAGTAGCTTCTTCTGGCTTTACTGTTGATAAGGCCTAGGGTATGCCGGGGGTGTGTTCAAACCACATGTGATTGCATTCACCCTTCAACCTCCAAGCCACTTGTGCCACAATCCACACCTCGGTGAGTAGCTGAAAGTTGAGCAACCGTAGTCGTGACCGTGATATTATGTTTGAGGAATAAGCGGAGTTGACGATCAAAGCCCCATTGCTGCCAACACAATGCCAAAGCCCTGCTGACCGGAGCAAGACCCGCATTCCAATCGCGAGAGCGACCATCTACACGCTCGACTCAGGGCGGATTAGTTTTTGCTCACGATCGGCCGTTGATTCCAATGTCTGTGCCTTGTGCTGGGCTTTTTTGTTGTTTGTACATGTTGATGTTTTTGTCCGAAACCCATTACAGATCGCACCACGTAAGACACATTTTAGATTTGCTTATACCCGAAAGCGAGCATTTAGCAAGACTTCTGCTGTGATTGGACGCAAGGCAATTTGAGCAATCATATGCGCTCTTCTGTTGAGCAAGCCTTGATAAAGCGATCGCACACCCCTTTTCAAGGTCCCTTCCTTATGTTGCTCAACTCAGGTTGGTGAACTCAGGCAGGTAGCTTCAACTTGTCTGCTGAATAGTCCGCAGCTCTTTCAGCTGAATCCAAAAGATGGGTGTCTTTCTTTCCCCAGAATCCCCATTCGCATCTCTGCAGCAGTGCTCATTTTGCCGCTCCTCAGTAGCGAATGAGGGAATGAGGGAGTGACATGACCCCCCATGACACATCTGCCATGACCCTCCAGGACATATCTGTCGGGGTTTCCGTTTGAGGGATCCCTAGGGTCATCCTAAAACCCTCTGATGATTCCAGCAAGCAATTGCAGGTTTGTTGCCCGAGACATGGGCGGTGTATCTTTGCTTCCTTGCTCAAAAGGATTTATTGATTGCTTGAAAAACCAATAGTGTGCGCGATTTGTTCTTGAAGGCACCCCTTTTGTGGGTTGTTTTGAAGGGACACCGAAGGAAAACCGCAAAAGCAGTGGTGCGATCCACCCCTGCAACCCACGGCTGCAACAAGGACATTCTTGATTAATAGCCCCAAAGTTTTCAGCTGGCCCTGTCAGGTGACTGCATTCTCCGACCAGGCCGGATTGGGAACTAGCCTTGCACGGAGGGAATTGGGGCATTGAGGTTCAGCTAACGGAAGTGATGCAGCTGTTTCCTTGCGGTGCGTTTGCGCAGGATTTTCGTCCCGCTTGCTGGTTTGAATTGGACGTTTGAGGGTGCCTTTCCTGTTTTTTTTTTTGTTTATCAGATTGGCCACTTTTAGACCGTTTCCTCTTGGCGGGGTGATGTTTCAGGTGGAAACATAGGGAGCGCGGCACAACTTCTGTGATGCCACCAGAGAACGACGGCATCACAATGGATTGTCATTTGATATTTTGCAGGCCCCCGAATTTACCATCCACGTTTTCTTCTCGGCATGCGAGACACAGTTGAACACGTAGGTCCTTTAGGCCCCAGGCATGGCAATTTGTGCGTCGACAACGATGTAGGGCCCCCATTGGCGTCTTGCCATTGTATTGTCTCATATGTCTGTTCTGTATAGATACCCAAAAGAACCACCGTTTAAAAACTAGAAGACAAATGGGTGGTGACCTATTTCTATGGGTAGCTGACATCCACTGGGCTAAGCAATACCAGTGGGAAGAGCGAGGGAACTCTGAGTCCTGCGATCAGAACCGAGAAGACCCCTTTCAGCAGCATTCGTAAAAATGCATCGCCGGGGGAAACAACTTGCTTGCTAGTGGGTCGGATATCTCTCTCTAACCTACCGCTTTTTCTCACTCGTTAACCTGGGCAGGGGGATAGTAGGCATGTGGCTTGAGGGAAGCATTCGTATTTTGGTCAGATCAAATCACGAAGATCTGTTCATTGATTTTGAGCCGTCCCCTGTGTCACAGCCAGACCTAAGAAGGCTACCTGAGGACGACCCCAGCAATTGGCGCCTTTCGTTTCCTAGGTGAAGACTTTGTCCTGCACCCTGCCGGACCGGGGGATCGGTCAACCTGGGGGTTGCCGTTTCGGGAACTCGGAACTTTGTAGAGCCTCGGTATGAATTGCTTCGTTTCCCTTGCAGACAACGAACAGGGGACGGATACTGTAGTTTGCACATTGTGTTGTTTATTTCTTATTTATATTTGTCTTTTGTTCATGATTTATGTATGGTTTTCTCTTCTTGTTTTGTCTGCATTCATTGTATTTATTATTCATTGATCTATTCCATCGTTATGAAATTATATCTTTATGTTTATGTTCTTCTTGTTTTATGTGTTTGTGGAGATGATTCTTTGTTTGTGGAGATTACTCTTTTGGTGCTCTGTTAATACCCCACAGAGGTGGATCCATAAAAGCCACATCCAAAACGTTTTCTAGACTGAGTGAAATCCGAGGGCTGATGCAAAAGGCCGACGTCCGGTGCCAAAAGCCGTGGAATCCGCCCATGTTGCGCCCTTGCCCTTTGAATTATGCCCACTAGACCTGCCCAACAACGCCCGGTTTCAAACCCTCCAGCCATATGAGACGCGAGGGCGAAATCAAGATCCGTTTTCACAGCGATGCAACCAAAACTCAAACTCGACTTCGTGCCCTCAAGTTGCTTCGCTTCCAGCGGAAGCTAGCTCTCGTGACGTTTTTTCCAAGAGCTTCCTAGGCTTGGATTAAAAGGGGTGCAACTTCCTCAGCCATGATGCACAGTTCCTCTTGAGTGGGACACCCTCGCAAAGCAAGAATCAGGGGGGAAGAGGGGCTTATGAATCAACTGTCCCATTTTCCATTATGGTGTCTACTTATGTTGCCATAAGGAAAACCAGATAAGAATAGCACTCTGGGGCAGCATGTGTTCTTCCCCCCTGTTAAAATATTGCTTAGCTCAGTGGAGCCCAGTTGCCCACGTAATAGGTGCCCAGCCATTTTTATATTATTTAGGTTTGAAAGAGTGGTTCCTTTGCTTACTATACTGGTAAATGGATCCACTGCGTAGGTCTCCAACCTTGCGCGACGCGTTCTCATGCGTTCTCCACAGCAGGACATTTTGGCCTCCGCCGGTACCGGGGAGCAGGAGGCCATGGTGAGGCGCGTTGGCGTTGGGATTTGGAGTCAACTTGTCTTTGAGCACAACCCATGGTGAACACGAGTTGTGTTCTGATTTGTTCCCCATGGTTGTGAAAACAAAAACTGGAGTGCCCATGGTTGTTTGTCGTGTGTTTTTGTTATTTCCTTTAATTTGGTGGCGGCGGGAATTTTAACCAACGAGAAGCCAAAAGGACACGGACACAATGCTTTTGCGTTCGCTTTTGCAACCTACGAACCTGCATGGGCAAATTTCAGCAACGTTACAGTGCAGGTTCTTCGCTTGGGCACTTGGGGATTCCATATTTCAATTGTGTGATTTATAATGCTGTGCCTTGGGATTCCTTAGGTGCAACCCAGAGGGTCCACGTTCACCATTGGACTTGGTTACAGTAAGGGGATGTGTCAACTGCAACATATCGAGTCCGTAAATATGAGGTACAAAGGAAGCGTATAGGAAATGCAAAAGAGTAAAAGGGGGTGTACATACACAAGCTCGGGGAATGGACAAATCGTGTCCCTATAGTTCCTTTTTCAGAGCAGAAGTCGCTTGAGGGAGGGTCTTTGGGCATGGGGTCAGGGCTATCCTTTCGAGCCCGGAACCGTAGGATTCCTTTCGGAGATCTGCAAGCCTTTTTCAAGAAGAGTGGGGCGTTGTATCTTAGAATTGTTGGCTTTTGCTTGATGGATGAGAGGCGGCATGCTTGCATCATGTTGGCCACGTTACTCATTCAGATTCACAAGTTGTCCCTAGCTCTTGCCACGAATCCCCACGTCCACGTCGAGCGGCTTAGCTTCTGTCTTTTGCACATTTGTAGGCATATTGTCCTTAGGTTCAGAAAGCCGGACTTGCTTGTTTTCGCATAGTTGACATACTCTGCTCTGTTCAAAAGCCGCAGAACAAGCCAACAAGCGCCAGGCAATTCTACAGCAAGTTGGCCTCTAGAGTCTACAGGAAACTGGCAATCCGCGAGCTCCTTTGTTCGATCGCTTGGATTTGGGCGAGGCTTGAACTACTCTCCAAGTGGTTTGTTTTCATCGTCGATCCGAAATGTTCCCCAGAATACCCCTAGAAACGATTGATCTCCTCTTGTTTGTCCAAAAGGGATCCTGACGATGTTTGCCTCACTTCGTTCAACATAGTTGTTGTTGGGTCCGACCTCCAAACACCACCCCAAGTAGTGCAAGCTTCACTGAATGTGGGCCAAATTCAATATATTATGGCTGGTTAGGGTCCTACACATATTAGTTTCATGTTTCTAGCACACGGTTTGGGTGCGCTTTTGTGGATCCACCCCTGTAGAATATTGGATAGAGTACTAGAATATTACACAAAAAGGACCAAGAAGGGGAAGAACAGGTGGATTCCACAAAAGCGCATCCCAACCGTTTTCTAGACTTTTGCTCCACACGATTGTTTTGATTGGGCTCGTTGGCATAACTTGATTTTCTTTGTTCAACATGTTTTAGGGTCTTCCCCTCACACACCGACCCAAAGACGGGTGCGTGAATTTCGCGGGGCCCGGCTCGAGGCACATGCAGCGCGCCCTGCACATGTGGCTGCTGCGCAGTGCCAGCGCCCCCAGCGGCCGAAACCTGATTTCTAGGCCCAAAGGGGTGTTCCTAAACATTCCCCCCCCTCCCCCCGGCTTTGGACGATTTCGGTCGGGTTTAAAGGAACGCCAAAAGGCATACAAGCACCTGAAGGAATCCGTCGCTAGTTTTGAGAAATACCCACATGAGGCACTTGCTCAAGAAAAGCTGGTAAATGCAGGTCAAGGGACTTGCCCAGCCAGCAATCTCGCTATTCTGAGTCTTATGACACGTATGATTTCAGTAGACCCTTCTGGTACCAGGTTTTGGTTGTGACTTAGATGGGTATAAGTTCAAATTGGGGGCCCTGCGGTGGAAATGGCCAGGCCGGCCATGGCAACTGCCGGTTTGGGACAGGGACTTTCCAGTACCTGGCGCTTGGCATTTTGAGCAGACTCGCAAGCACACAGTTTGTGTTTTCTCCGAATAGAAAAGCCAAAAGGGGGATGGGTGATTCTTTGGACGAGTGATGTCGGGCATAGTCCAATTGTTTCCTCGTTCAGACTACCCCATGTCGACTCCGGATTACTGAACCTGCCTTTTCCGCAGCAAACAAATTGGGATTTTAGAGTGTCACTTAGGGCCCAGTTGGAGCTTTGGCGTCTTCCCGAGTTTGAGTTGCTGCTTGCGAGTTGCATCGTCTTTCTAGGGGCTTGGTTTTTCCTGCTTTGCACAACAATCTGCCCCCCACCCCCCACCCCCCAAACAGCCAGGTTCATGTTCAAAGGGGGAGAGACGTTTTTTTTTTTTTGGCGAAACTGGGTTTGTTGATGTAGATTGGATGTTGTAGATGCTGCGATTGTGCGAGGATTGAATTCCTGTAGCTGGACAACACATTGCTTTTGCTATTCGGAGCTTCGTACGTACTCAAAAGGTGTTGCTTGCCAAGTTGCACAGGGTGCAGAAGATGCTGATGCCAACCTTGTTGAGAAGAACTTGACCCGATTCGGACATGCCTATAGGCAGGGGGGACCCGAGGATGAATGAACCCCAGGTTGATAAATGGGGAGCAATCACTCAACTTATTTTGAGACGCAATGTTGACCCCGGACGGTGGTAGAGCCTCTAGAACGTGAAGCTCATTCTGCCATTCACCTCCCTCTCAATTGGGTGCTAACTGGCAAACAATTTTACGTTCTCCTCAGGGAAGAGGACATCAGGATGGATCATTGTGTTAATTCAAAGTTGTTCCAAGTCTCTAAGAGCTCATCAAACCACATGGGTATGGGTCAAAATTAAACCACGGGACCGCAGGTTTTAGTGCCCGGTTCCATTTAGCAGTGTTCCATTTTGGGCACCTTTTTTTGACCCACAGCCACATGGGCAATCGCTTTGGTTTCCTTTGGCTTTCCTTGGGCCCAACCTTCTTCCCGTGTGCTCGGGTCTTCAGAGCAAGCCTGTGCCCATAGCACGGTTGCGGTCGCCAGGATAGTCATGGAACCCCAACTAGGAGTGACCCAACCCCCCATAGGTTCGGGGTCAATAAAGTATTATTGAGGGGAGTACACAACCAAACTTGCGGCCAACAAGGCCAGAGCTGTTGAATTGTCTTTCATTGAGATGCGACCCCGGGAATTCGTACGTGCCCCCTTTTCTGCTTTTTTCGCCGAGGTCTTCCTGCCAGACGAGGCAAAAAAGGGAGGAAAGGGTCCGAAACATGACTTCTCCCACCGCAGGTTTTGGTGAACATTAGGATGTGATCTTCGTGCCATGCGTGCCCGTGATGGGCAACATGCCAATTCGCTGTCTTGTGAGTAGGGATGGTCACCAACCCTTCACCATGTAACTTAGACAACCACTAGGTAACAAGGTGAGCGGGTCGAAAAGGGACCCACGTGCTTGCCGCAGCTTTGCATGATGTTCAAGGGTTCACCTGAAGAAATAGTTGCTCAGTGTTCTTGCATCTAGGTGCTTCATGTCATCTAAAGGTTGTTTTTGGGCTCATCGTCCCCTGGGAGCTGAACCCGTACGTCGAAATGTCAACATGGTGCACGATGATGAAGCAGATCATGTCCAGAGGACATGAGGACGAGAACTTGTGGGACATGAAGAGGATCTCCAGGAAGACTGAGAAGCACGGCGTGAAGAAATTGGAAGTCATGACCCAATTCCGGGTACTCAAGCTTTGAACATAAGGTAGTGTTCCAACATTTTAGCGTGACCCCCCCCCCCCTTTTTTCCAGGGGTCAACGGGAGACTCGCGGCCGGTGATTCGTGGCCCTTCGCCAGTCGGAACAGCAGCTGGCCAACGCCTTGCGTCACTGTGACGTCCTGCCTGTGAACGAGGGCGCAGCTCGGTCAGAAGGGCATTGCGTCTTTTGAGGGCTGGTTTTCTTTTGGACCAACCCTGACAAGGTTCCCTCATAAGGAGCACAAGCCCAGATGGAGTCCCTCTTGAATGGCCTTGAGAAAACCCACCAGCCCACCCGCCATGATCCCCCAACGGCTGTCAATGGTTTGTTAAGTGACATCCTTGGGGCTATTTTGCAAACACTTTATCAGCGATGGGGGGTCCTGGCGGATCATTCCCATTGTTTGGGGCAAACCACAGGTTTGATTGTCTTGTTCATGCATAGTGCACAGGGCTGACACTGAGGTTCTTGTGCGCATATGAACAATGGACGTGGGGCTTACCAACGTACCAGCGATGACATGGGGCTTACCAACGTACCATTAGGCAAAGGAGGTTGCTCACCAGACTCATGTGGCTTTGTCTCAAAATGAGCCTGCTTAGGCCAATACCTAACGCCAGTTTTGTAGATCCGGCTTCTCTGGCACGCCGATCAGCTGAATAGTGGATTCCACCTGTTCCCTTTTAACATCAGCCAACACAAAAGAGGGAACCGCGCCAAAAGTCCTTGACACTCAAGCTTGAAGTCGTGTTCTTTCCGTGGTTTGCCTCATGTCCTCTGAGCAGTGAACAACTTGAAACAATTCAATGCGATGAATTGTCACTCGAGCAACGAAGGGCATTCATTCGAGATTGGTTTGAAACGCGAAGAGGAGGCCTTGTTGACCAGACTTCTTTGCCTGCAGCAGGTGTATGGAGCGAAGGATCGAATGATACCCTCTTGCTTAGCACCACTCGAGTCGGAAATTGAAAGCTCTCTCTAAACAACAGGTTCCACGAGTCAAGACTGACAGTGAGTTTTGGAATCATATGGTCTCTCATGGACAGCATTTGATCATCAATTCAGTGGCTTTCGCTGTTGTGCGCTTTCTTGCGTCGCGAGCTCGGAGGTCCAGGCGGCTGATGAGTTTTTCCAAAACCCCGCGGCCAGCCCAGGATGTAGTGTTCGAGAAGGGCGAATCTCTCACGTCGGCCGGGTGCTGAGGGAGGGTAGCTCCAGTTTGGACCGGCTTATCCCAAGTCTCATAAACCTCCTCCTTTGCGTTGTTGTCTGTTTAGAGTTTCAGGGGTCTTTTCCAGACTGGTTTTAGGGTGACTAAGTATGAAACCAAGCCTGAAAGTATCATTTCCTGTACCCCAGATGTTCAGGTAATCCCTGGTTTGGATTGCTGGTTTAGGGGTTGAACCCTTCTCAGGGTAAGTAGTGAGACCACCTCCAAACCTCCAACCCACAAGTTATCCAAACCACCAGAGAGAGAGAGAGAGAGAGAGAGAGAGAGAGAGAGAGAGAGAGAGAGAGATAGAGAGAGTTATAGAGAGAGAGAGAGAGAGGGAGAGAGAGAAGCTCAATCGCCTCCTCGTCACGGGCCTCGATGCCCCCAGGTCTACATCGGCATCCAGGGCGTGTTCCAGTCGCCCGGATCGCCCAGAGATCCGAGACGAGGTATGCCAGTTGTGCGATCAATGTCAACCATAGCTTTGGATTTTACTCAAAGGGACCATTGTCTATGGTCATCACTTTGTCGTGTTTCCATTAGTTCAAGCTTTTCCATGTTCCAGTTTTTCCAGCTTCCCAATTTGTCCAGACTCCGTATTTAGCACCCAGCAGATTTGTTTCCAGGAAGCACTCAGGTTGTCCTCCGACTGGGTCCCTTAAAGTGACGGTTTCAAGAGTGGTTTTTAAATGGAGGTTTAAAGGGAACTCCCAACAGTTATCTTGCGAGCCCCTCAACAATTTCACTTCCAGCAGGAAATAGACAGGGTGGTAGCCTGGCACTGCAAAGCTCGGCAAGGTTCCACCAGCAAAAGCACTGCACACCGGTGTAAAGTATGATGAATACTACGGGGCCTTTGAAACGGCATACTAAGACATTCGTTAAACCACATGGGGCGATTGCCCGTCCATCCCCTTCGGGCAACGATGTTTGTCGCTGGCTCATGTCAAGGCATTTGGAACTGCACTGTGTCCATTGTGACATTCTCCCTCATGACTCATGGTGGCTTGAGGGCAAAACAGAACAGTGCCTGTAGTTAGATAGTTAGATACGTGAACTGGCAGTCATCCCATAAGATCTTTTGGCCCATTGTCACCACATCCAGTGTGCGCCCCGATCCCGTGATTGAACTCTTTTAGGCTAGGAGCCTCATGACCAAACCTCAAGGGTCATGTTTTTTCTCGAGCAGCGCCCAACGCCGTTTTCAAAAGGGCCGCTTTGTCGACGGTCTGGACCCTCATCCCAGGGTACCATGTTTGCCTGAGGAAAGCACGGTGCCCAATTTTACTGAGAGCTAACTCATTTTTGGGCACGACGCGTGTCCAGTGTTCCGACTTTGGTAGGTGGTTCGGCTCTTTCACTGCCATACTTACATACCTTTTGCCCCGTGCGGTAATTGGAGACATTGCTAGCATTGCGTAAGGGGCTCCAAGATGCTTCAGCCATGTACATGGTACTTTCTGCCTGGTCGGGCCAGGGTCTTTGCCCATTTTTATTTGCAGGGCATTCAAAGGCTTCATTTTAGTTTGTCCTCCAAGAGGGGTTCAACATTTTTCGTCCAAGATTTCTTGTCCCTCAAACTTGGACACACTAGGGTGGTCCTTTGAGCTTCCCGGAGTGCAAAACTTGTGGTTTCTCCAGGTGTTTGTGAGTGTGTATGTGTCAAAATAGGGACAACCCCCAAAATGGTGGTTTTCCTCTTGGTCTCCCTTTAGAAGCAGCCCAACAAGCAAAATTAGTACCAGCTCCAAGCAAAGACAACCCACATGCAATGCCTATGGTTCTATAAGGGCTTCGGATTGAAACATTTCTCATGCGCAAAAGCGAGGCCTGGCCACCCGATCTATCGGGCCACAGAGGGCGCGGACGCCCGGGGACTTCGAACATTGGATCATTGGCCCGCCAGAGGACTAATTCTACGGGTTTGCGATCTAAGCGAAACCTGCGGAGCCCTGATGATGATGATGATGATGATGATGATGATGATTAAGTTATTATTATCATTATTATTATTGTTAGTATCATTATTATTTGTATTATCATTATTATCATTATTATCATTATTATTATTATTATCATTATTATTATTATGATTATTATTATGATTATTATTATTTGTATTATTATGATTATTATCATTATTATCATTGTTATTATTATTAGTATTATTATTATTATTATTATTATTATGATTATTATTATTATTATTATTATTATTATTATTATTATTATTATCATTATCATTATCATTATTATTATTATCATGATGGTTTGCAGCAACGCGTCTTACCCCTTGATGGCCTCAGGGCTTCTGGCTCATGGCTGGGCAAGAACTATCAATCACTCCAGTGCAATCTTGGGGTATTGGCATCGCCACAATTACCCTCCTGTCTGACAACATGTTTCTGGGGCGGGGGGCAAGTGAGTTTATGGAATGATGTTGTTGTCATTCCAGAGGTAGGGGCTCACCAGTAGGTATATTTCAGATATTTGTTTTTAAGCTAGTTCCGAAGCCTTCTTTCAGAGTTTCCTCATTTCCCATGGAGGGCTTTGATCATTTGTTTGACGCGCCCAGTTCGGGGGAACATCGTGAACGCCAGTCCCTTGGCCTTCGGCGTCGGCGGCTCAGATTTCTGTGTCGCGATAGACCCGATCGTGGGTCTGTTGAACTGGGCTCATCAAGCAGAACGGAAGCCCAATGGTAGGGCTCCCCCAAAGTTGATTTCTACATGATGGCCGTTGGATGCTGGTTCTTTGTTGCATTTTGCCAAGGGATGTTGGGACTTTAGCTTTTTGCCAACTAGTGGGCTTTCCATTGAACCACTAAAGTGTTTTTTTTGGCAGGGGAGCAGAAAGCAAGGGAGAATTTGTAGGGAGAAGTGTTGGAACATCCCCATGGCCTGGCTGTTTTGAAATTGGCTACTGGGACCACTCTAGACACACATAGGAATAGGGACACCTGGAAAAGGGTGCCGATTTCCCCGCCTTGGCTTGGAAACAGCCACATGCTTTTTACCAAAAGGACTCCTCGAAGAACAACATACCCAAGGCGGTCAAAGGATCTGGCTTGAGGTCATCAAATGTCCGTCTCTTGGAAGGATAAGCAATCGCAGGTTCCTGGCCCTTCAAAGGGGGTTTTGCAACTTAGTGCCAGGTCAGTTCCTGTGGACTTTTCTAGCTTGGTCCAAGAGTTGTGCCAAGGGCCTACGCCCCTGGGAGATGGGATCAGAATGGGGGCGTCGATGAAGAATCGGGTTTACCTTTTGGCTTCCCTTAAACCAACCTATAGAGGGGTTCCCCAAAACAAGACACACGAGAAACATAACAGAACCTCGATAGGGCCTGCAGGAGGCTCAGCTAGAGACTGTAAGGAGTGACTGTAAGGGGGCGAACATGCGCACTCATCAAATGTCCATTTCAGGAAAGTGGCCCTCGGCAAGGGGGGTCACTCAAGGTCCCATGTCGAGGGGCACAATGAGTATCGAATGCTCACATGAGGCGACATGTTTTGATGTGAGCTAAACAAAGTTTAGCTTACTCGAGGTGTTTTATGCAGGCAGACTTTCATGTACTTCAGTTCGTCACTCAGGGAGGGGGGCTTTCCCGCGCCCGCGATGCCAGGCTTTTCCACACGGCACCCCCAGGCTCCCTTTTGATAATTGAATTTATCAAAATGGCCCTTTCTTGTTTTGAATTGCGGTATCTTGTTTTCAGGGGCCAGCTTAGATTGTAAGTTATACACAACACCCCGGACCGTGAAGCGAAAACGATCGACCACAGAAGCGTTTCAACGACGAAATGACTCGACCAAGGCAGAGTGGGCCACCCGCGACAGTCCGGCAAGGGGGCCCCAGGTGTGAAGGGACGGTGCCCAGCAAAGAGCCCAGACCCTCCGTACTTTGGGGGCTGTCCCAGATCCAGTTCTCTTTTTTGCTTTCGTGGCCACTCGGAGACTCGCGCGTTGGGCAAATGCACCATCTCCAAGCATTCACCAGGGCCAGGAACCTTTTACTCGGAGTCGCCCTGATAGGGACGGGTCTGAGTAGCAGGAGACAATAGCTGCTTGAAAGCTTTTACCGGAAGAGAGAAGCACGCTGTTGCAATTGGACAACCAGGAGAATCTATATTGATTGTTCCAGCAAGTGTTTTTTCTTGTCATCCTGTTTGCATGTCCCGCCGTTCCCGTGTCGCTCTGCCGGCGATTGAAGCCGCGTTGGCTGTCAATCTTGCAAAGGTTTGTGACCTGGCACGTGACAAAGCTTCTGTTCAAAGGGAGCCTAATTTTTGGGTCGGGTGAATTACACCATGTTTCACGGATATGCGTGTTGCCAACATGTGGAATCGCTGTGGGATGGCGGGTTCTATTAGTTGGGTCGCTTATGGAATGACACATGCCTGCATCTGTTTTGTCCTGTTTGCCATGGTCAAGAGGCCTTCGGCGGCTTTAGACCGCCATCCAGTAGTGCAATCAACCCACTGTCTTGCCACTGGTGAAGCTGTGGGAGGCATGGCGCCATGTCTGCCCCAGCCAAAGGCGGCACGAAATGCAGATGTTCTATGTTCCCCAGATTCGACCATGACACCATGAATACGACCACGAAGATCAAGCACCCAAATATCATTTTTATTGAAGTTTAGGCGTCCATGGGAATTATTCCTTTGTTTAGCTCCTCGGCTACACACATCAACACATATAGCTCATGGTAGGTTTCAGTGCTTGGGGGTTTGTTTGGCCAAAACAGCTTCCCCCTACTCCAAGTTCCCACTGTTCCCACTGTTGTTTTCGTTAACGCTGTCAACCCCAGACTGGAAAAGACGCTATTCACCCGGGAGACCCGGTTTGGAAAACAGATATGCCGTTGTGTTGCAAACCTCAGAACAGAATTCTTGAGTAGCATCATGGCAAGTGCGGCAAGTGTCGCATGGCCTTGTCCTTCAGGTCTCGGCGCCCTACCGCCTAGAGGTGTGGGGGGGGGGGGGGGGGGGGGGGGTCGCCATCCGAAACCTTTGCACTTTTTGCCCCCCCCCCAAGCGCTGGTCCCCGTGTTTTTTCCCAAGTAATCCCTGGTAAGGCCTTGTTACAGGCCTTCTTGGAGAAGATGGGAGCTGAGGCTCAAAGCCTGTTTCGTCAACTTGGGGTCCGATTCCTATGTTCAGACTCTCCCGTTTCTGGGCGCGCGATTTTCTCGGGATCTAGTTGGGCGTCAGCAGGATACTTCTTAAAAAGGGCCGAGAACTAGTTGTCTGGACAAGCGGCGGGGGTTCATGTTCCAGCTGTTCCGATAGTTTCACTGTAGTTCTCGAAGGGTCAATCCCAAAAAGCATCGAATGTTATTTCTACCGAACAGGTCACTGGTCGCAACGTGGTATGGATCAAAAGAACCCGCCCTCACTTACAGTTTTTTTTTTTTTTTTATATGAAGAACTCCAGGAAAGTACTACGCATAAACCACTTGTCAACCTCTTGTGAGTTGTTTGTTTCCAGACTAGTGCCTGGAAGGCTCTGAAACAAGAGGCTTGCGCAAAGAGGTGCCTGCCTGAAACCTGCTAGTTTGTTTGGGGCTTCTGGAGTCTGATTCGGACTGTTTTCATATTGCAAGTTGCTTTGCGGACCAGAATCTCCTTTCCACGAGTACAAGAAGTAGTCTTCAGAAAGGGTGTGTGCACTTCCATGTTTCTCAGTTGGGTAGGGTGCATCTCCAATGGGTTTGCCTGAAGGAGGTTTCATTCTACAAGGATGATTCGCCTCTACCAGCACACCGGAAGGGAACCCTTGCCCAACTGGCAGTGGGATCAACTTGCGAGTTGCGCCTCCAAGTGCTTTTCCACTCACCTCACCCCCGAGTTCCCAGACGTTATGCTTAGGAAGGCCACTAGTCGCAAACCGACACATGGGCATCTTTTGGCTACTCCACTCGATCGGAAGTGAGTCCAGGGGCTTGTAAACCGAACATCAAGCCTAAGGAGTACACTGGGAGCCCCGAGGGCACCACTCCAGCTGACACAACAGGCATGGTGCAATGGTGGAATAGGTCTCGAAGGCAAATTCTTTAGAAGCATCTTCCGTGTTACAGACAGTAATTGAAGATAGCTCTGCACACAGATAAGATGAACAACAAAGAATACACGCAAGAAAACACACATACGCGTGTGGCCTGGAAATCGCGAACAATAGCAACTTTCTGCGGGTTTCGCGTCTCAGGATGGCTGAAAGCTTCCCCACTTTTCACGGGTTGCGGCGCGGGTGCGGAAGGGTCTCGGACCCGAGACCATGCGTGCGTTCTTCCCGACTTGAGCGCAGCACGCCAGCAATCTGAGGTGCAGATTGCGTTTCAGGCGAGGCACTGAGTTCAATTGGCGATTAGAGCGCAGCGCTTTCTCAGACTGAGTAGGCAACACCAGCGCTTTGGCAACGCTGGCGCTGACACGTGTCGATCCCCATTGGCACGGACGTGCGCACAGCTACTCGCGGATTTCGTGGCAGGCGCAGCATAGGTCAAGAGCAGATGTCGAGGTCAGGTGCAGGTTTCGTGGCAGGCTCAGCAGTTTCGCAGCTTTTTCGCAAGGTCGGGTACAGGTTCTCTGGCAGGCCCAGAGGTCAGGTACGGATTTCGTGGCAGTTTGGCATCAGATACTGAGTTCGTCGCATCTGCTCTCGCAGGGTAGGGTACAGATTTTGCCCAGGCAAAGCGCTGTTGAAAGATAGGTAAACAGATGGTTTGGTCGATACATCCAGAGATGCATAGATGGAAAGGTAGATGGTTAGATAGAGAGAGATTGCACGATATGTGGACAGATGCTACGCTGACAGACAGGTTGAAAGAAAGATAGTTTAGAAAGATTAGATAAGTACAGAAAGATGAACAGACACCCATGTAGATACAAAACAGGTAGATAGATAGAAAGGTGGACGGTTAGTAGATAGGTAGGGAGGATTGGTAGATAGGATGGATGGATGGATGGATGGATGAACAAAATTAAAGTTGGGCGAAAGATGGGTAGGTAGGCAGGCAGGCAGGCAGGTTCCTTCCTCTTTATCTTTCTCTCTGTTACCCCTCTTTTTTTTTCTCTTCTTGCTCCTTCTTATCTCCTTTCTCTGTGTCTTTCTCTTCGTTGGCCTTCCCTTGCTCCTTCTCTCCATCCTCACCCTTCTCTTTCTCTTACCCCTTCTCTTTCTCTCCTTGCACTCATCTATCTATCTGTCTATCTATCTATCGTTCTGTGTATCTTTCTATGTCTCTATCAAGATTCAGATGTATCTGTTCGTCTAGTACAGTGTATTCATCCATCTAGCTATTTGTGTAGTATCCCGTACACCCATGAATCTCTTTAGCTAGCAATCCATTGCTCGCATCTATCCATCCAGCGTGCTAGCTATCTATATACCCACCTACGAGAGTGAACAATAAATGAAGATGAATATGAATAGAATGGTAGCCGCAGCTCTTACTTAACTTGTTGAACCGTCCGACCAACCGGCTTCGCCGGCTCTACTGATCTTTGAGCTTATTAACCCATCCGCCATCTCCTTATGCAAATACAAGTATAGCGTCTGCACGTGTATACACACATAGGTACACAAGGCAGATATGCACATATGGTTAGATCTATATACATATACACTTGTGCGGAAAACAATTCATGCACATTCATATGTTGCATAGATGTTTCAATATTTGAATATGTGATATGCATACACACAATGTATTCATATTCACAATATACTCATCTTTATATACACATGCATATATAAGAACACACCCATTGTCGGATCCCTTTGGGCTTGCTTGGCCTTTTGAGCGGCCCCCATCGCCAGGCGGCCACGGCCGGGTCGCTGCTGCGGGTGTGGGCCATGGCCGTTTTCTGGGGTTGGGGCGGTGCTTTGGCCACAGACCCAACATTGATTCTTGTCTGCTACTTGGTTGGTTCTTCGGAGGTTTTTGGCTTTGGGGGAATGACAAGCTGTTAGTCAAGAGCAACAAGTTAAACTTGCACCTCACGACCCTTGGTCTTCAATGACCGTTAGGCAGGGGCTGCAATGGTTCCCCTTGCCACTCGCCTCTTGAAACTAAGCACGGCCCGGCAAGGTCACATTCAGAGCCACACGGTTCCGGATTTCCCTGCAACTCCCTTTTTGGTGTGGCGGGGGAGTGATTAATAAAGGCCCCCCCCCCCCCGCAAACGAATTGGGGGGGGTCAATAGCGAGAACCCCCAAAAACAAAATGGGGGTCAGACTGGGACCTGCCTGAGTAGTTTTCCAGTAAGTATTGTTTAGAATTGGTTTAGTATTGGTTTAGTATTCCTTTGAGCTGGCTCACTACGGTTTAGACTTGGTTTAGTATTAGTTCAGTATTCTTTTCAGTTGACTCACTACAGTTTAGAATTGGTTTAGTATTGGTTCTTCTTCTTGGCAGTCTGCCCTGGCCATTTTTTTCACAATTCCCTACCCTTAAACAAACTGCATTATTGCCTTCCTGGGGGTTCCGTGTGCCACCCCCTTGAAGATTTGTCAGGGTGCATCTTCTAGTAAAGGGATTGATAAGGAATTTGGTGGTTTGGGACAGGACGCAATCCAGAAATTCTGGACATTTCTGGCTGGACTCAAACGTTTCAACCCTCAAAAATGGTCCATTCTTGGAAGGGGACATATTTTCGGGATGTCGGGCAGATGTTTTTCTGTAATACCTACCCTTTTTGCTTTTCAGGAAAGTGAATAATTTTGAGTTTTTTGTCTGTATTCAATCCCGTTTTATTAATCGCTATCTAACAGTACCCACGAATTGTCTATCTCCGGATTGTCAACCCTAGAGCCCAGTTCCCTGGTTCTTTTTCAGCATGTGGATGGTGTGAGCACGTGGACGGTGTCACTGTTCCCTGTTCTCAGCTGGTTTCAGAGTGCGCTTGCAGTTTCTCGTGTGGTGTGCAGGACATGCCTCTTTTTTGGGGCTTCCTTGACCGCTTCACCTGCTTCGATGTTCTTGTGATGCTTCGGCCTCTTCTTATCGCCCATGTGGCCGGCACTGACCCCTGACCTAGATGTCAAAAGGGTGCCGTTTTTTCCTCAAGGTCAGTGGGCAATTGTTGCTCTTCTTGTTTAGTGATGACCCCTTCTTCTACAAGCGTCAACAGGCAACTTGCTATTGTTCTTCTTGTTGTTGTTGGTGGTGATGATGGTGTTGGTGTTGGTGCTGATGTTGTTGGTGGTGGGTGTTGGTGTTGGTGCTAGCGTTGTTGGTGGTGGTGGTGTTGCTGTTGGTGCTAGTGTTGTTGGCGGTGGTGCTGGTGGTGGTGGTTGTGGTGGGTTCCACGCTGTTGGTCAACCTTAAAGACAGGTCTTTTTTCTAGCAGGATTAGTGTGCAACTTTTTCCTTGTTTGGTGGGGTTCCCTCCAAAAACGGGTCAACCCCCCCCCAAAAAGAAAACAAAGGATCCTGTTGTCACCCTGGGCAGTGGGAAGCTTTAGTCCTTGTTTTGTTGCTCTCTCAATGCACATGATCAACCCTAAAACGGGTTCTACCGAATGGGTTGTTGGCCGAAACTTGGGCCTTTCTCAGGTGCCAATGTACGTGGTGAGAGGCTAAGAGGTTTTCCATCGCCGAAAGGCGAGGTTAGGCGGCGCCTTGAAGATTGGGGCCAAGAATGCAGCACGGGTTGATGTGTGATGGACACGCAAGTCGCATGTGTTGTGTTCCTGTGGAAGCCAGAAAAGGATAATTAGAGCAGAACGCATCAATTTGGCATCCATTCAGATGTGGGTTTTATTGAAGCCGCAAAAACAATGCTATGTGATTGGATTACAGACCTGCGATGACACCCAGACATGTCAGCTGGCCAGGATTGTGTTGCGAGTTAAGTACCCTGGTGAACCAGAGCCCGCAGGCTTAATGGGAAGCGTTTGTTTTCCTGCATGATGTGTGCTTGTTGCTTCTTTGTGGATGGTTGGTTGATGCATGCAGATGTTCCCATCACGCATACTCGCCAAACAATAACCTGAGCCACTGATAGATGATGCCGTCATCGTGTTTTGCTTGGAGCAGGCGCGTTTCACTTAGAATGGTCGAAGCAGGACATGTTTGCAAAATGCAAACTGCGGTGCTTTGCCCTAACACGGGCCAAGGCAATCGACGTTCGAGAACAAGTGAAACAATTGCCATGCGACATTTAATCGATGCTGATATGTATACAGTCATGTACAGCTTATATATATATACACACCTAGTATGTGCAAGTGTATACCTACACGGGCCGGTGGGGAAGGGCTTGGTAGACACAAATCCCGCAACTTCCTTCAGCATCGACGATTGTTTGGAGAGAGGGTGACATGGAACCCACCAGATGGTCCACCTTTTAGGGCATCCTTTGTTCCCAGAACCCGCCGGTTAGATTCCATGTTAGTGATGGGAGTATACTGCTTTTCTGTTGAAATCTCTCAGACAAAAAGGGGAGTTTGCAATCAGTTTAAACATGCTGGAAATTATTGGGCATGGCCGAAGAACAATGGTGCACCTGGAATTCCTAGCCGTAAAGCGGAGCGTGGCATTTGTGTCCACGCCTCGTTCTGTTCTGTTCTCCCGTGATCTGGTTGAAACCAACAGTGTGCTCAGCGGAAAGTACCTCCAACATGCGAAGGAGATCCTGCCTGTTTTGCTGTGTGGTTTGTTCGGGTAAGAGACGGGCGGCAATCAATTGAGTTACGCCGGAATCACACCGGAGTCAGGTTCGAGCTAACTTTACCCTTTCTGATGGAAGGCGTTGTGAGCAGAACCTTTCCATGCGCTCAAGTGGCAGGTTGTCAATATGTGAGTGCCTAAGGGCCACGCGAAGAAGCAATGCTCACTTGAGCGCCATGTCGCAGCGTGACCTTCTTCTTTCCTTTGGCTTTTTCCGCGACAGATCCGCAAAAGTCGCTGAGCAAAGTTACTTGTTCCCTGAAGGATGTGGGAGAATGGGTGAGTCCCCCGGCGTTTGTGGGAGATTTAGCGAGCGCCGCACACTCGCCCCACGTCCCTTCCAATGGATCCTAAAACTACTGGGAAAAATGACCGAACCCCTTATGATTGAGTGTTAATTTTGAAAGGCATGATGTTTACCCGCATCCTTTATAGGAAGGGACCGACATCAAGCAAAGCCAGAACCATGTCGGAGTTTGGAATAATTGCGGGTATTTATTCATTCATATGGGTGTTTCTCCAAACAAGAGTCCTCTAAAAGTTCTTCATGGGTTTTGTGTTTTTCCCTTAAAATGCCAACCAAACAGGAGTTCACAACTTGAAAACTCCATATTTTTTTGTTGCACACGTTACCTTTTTGGGAGCCTAAGCGAGCTTGCATTCGGGCTGGTCTTTCACGATAGTCTTTGAAAAAACTGCAGACTCTGAGCCTTCCGTTAGCGGTGTCCTTGGCCAAAACAAAGCGGGTAAATTTCAGGAAGCGCGTATACAACTAGCCCGATTCAATGCATGGCTATTGCTTCAATGCAGCGGATTGTTTAGTGCTAAATCGACCCATGAGTTGATTGTGTTTGGTGGTCAATCAGTCAGGTTCCTAAGAGTTAATTTCTCCGTGAAGTCTACCGCAGGGTTCAATTCGAATGTTCCCAGTAACAAGGCACGGGAATGAAATCGACCGCGAAGGAAACCTGCAAGGATGTTTCCTGACCCTCTACTTGCCACCCAGTTGTTTTGCAGGCTTTCGTTTCGCCTGCGGGAAGACGAAGAAATCCCGCTCTCCTTGTGTATATGTTTTACTTTTGTTACGTGGGGTCC